TATCTTTGTTTTGTGGCCAAGTCACTGAAGGAAGACTTCTATTACCAGTTGTGTTACGAGACTCTGGGGAAAATACCGGTGTTTGAACTACTACGTTCATGAACTACTCATGATATGGTTTGATTATGTTTTGTATCTCAGCTGGGGCAGAGCCCTCTCCTTATCTGTTGTTTCTTTTCTTGAGCCTGCTTTAATAGCCAGCTGACTTGATTTGCTTTGCCTGGCTATTTCAACACTGCTATTTCCATGGGGTGTTTGGAGAAGTCCAGAACACTTCAGCCCCTGTTTGGGAAATTTCCTTTGGTTCTACCTGACTATAAGCTTGTGCCCTAAATGTAGGGGCATAGACCACCATGTAATTTGCTGGAGTAAAACTTAGACGACTCTTCTGTTGTTTTTGTGGCCTGAATTTAATGATCTGAAGTGTTAGCTTCATAGCCTTGGAGATAAGAAAGCTATTCTTACCCATGGAGCAGGTGGAGCACAGGAGTAAAATCTTCAGTGTGCTTGTCAGTGTGTCTCACCTAAGGCTTGTTTACAGCTTCTTGGGATGAAAAGGGTTCTCTGTGCAGCACTGCAGTTCTCTGTCCTCTGCTGACACCATTGAGAGTCCTTGTGGATAACAACAATGATGTGAAGGAAGGCCCCTGTCCTGGGAAAGGACCAAAATCACAGTCTGGATAGGTTGATGTTCTTCATTTTGAAATGGGAAGAAATGCTGGTAAGGTGCAGCATCAGCAGGTTTATTTATAATTTAATCACACTAAGAGTTCTCCTGCACTCTGTGAAATCCAGGCTTAACAGGAAGCCTGGTGTTGTTTTGTCATCGCAGTGACTCAGGGTGATGTCACCAGCTGACGGGAGCATTTGGGGTGTACCCACTGTTACGGTGGCCCTGTGATACCCTTTCTTGGACTCCTTTGGCATCTTTCCCCAAGTGCTCAGCACTGTTGCTGGAAGCAAAAGCTTTTGAGCAATTTCCAAACACAAAGTGGTGCATTGTGGGCCAGCACTGGGAAGACTGGCTCAACAAGTTTGGCAGCTGAGGTTTTGGCTTCCTGCCTACCTTGGATAGGCACCAGTAGTCTCTGAGCTGGTCTGAGCTGAAGACCTCAGTGTAGGTCCTGAAATCCATGCGTGTGTGACTGCTGTGTCTGGCACAGGATCTGCTTCCATTGTAAACCACAGTCTTGACATCCTAGACGTGTTTGCAGTAGTTATCTTTTGTCTGCTGTAGGAAGGTGGATGTGTTGGTTCTTGTCAGCATGCTGGAGGGAGGTAAAAAATTTGTTATAATATCAAAGGATCCCGTTTACTTTTCAATTTTCTGTTACCTGTTTAACCTTACCGTTGTCATCCTGAGTCACCTAGGGGTGGGTAACTAGTGCTCTGAAATATGCTTTTCCATGCCTTTTCTTAAATACCAACTTCAGATTTCCTTTGCTGTGCCTCTTGCTGATAAAATTGATTCCATGTATCTTCTGTAACATTTACTCTACAGGACTCTGCAAACAGGCCTAGTCTAACATGCTGCATTGGGACCACTGCTTGAAGTCTGTAGCGTTCTTGACGGGGTGCAGGACACCTCTTGCTCATTGCATGATCATACTCCAGATATATCTAATCTTCTTGCATCTGCATAAGGATGACTTTATTTTGCTGCCTGTATAATCAGGTTTATTTGGTTTATGTCCTTTTTGACATGAGATGACTAAAAAGTAAAAGTTGTGCCCTATTTGGTACTTTTTTTCCAAGGGCAGAGCATTTTCCTTCCTGGCTGGCCCACAAAAGAGATAAAAGTTCTTTTGTCACATTCCTCTGTGCATTTAAGTCCATTTCTACGTGTTCATATACCTTCTTCCCAAGTGTGAGAAGAGCACTGTTAGCTGCGGAGGAACCAGAGGAGAGAATTAGTCTTAGAAATTTGTGTCAGAAGCATGAGTTAGATGAAACCAACTGAATCAATACCTTAAAGAGCCTGAGCAAATTCTTCTCTCCTTTGCTTTTGTTTTGTTTTACTTTTGGTATTAACTTCTGTGTACATCAGAAGTGGGCTGGTGTTCTGCTTATGTTATAGAGGCCCACACCATGACAGAGCAGAAAAATTACTTTCAAGCATGTCAGCCCTTTCAGGTCTTGTGCAGGTATGGTATGTTCTAAGTGATCTTCAGTTTTGAATGCAGTCCTTCCCAACCAGTCCTTCTGTTGAAGAGTGGAATGGGTGGTTTTGGTAGCAGAGAGATAGTGTCAGATATGGAAGAAGAATACCTGGTACAGGTTTGTTCATCCTGTGTTTTCAAAGTCTCATTCTGTATCAGGTATCATGTATTTCATGTGTAATGTTTGAAGATGGAATTCTGGAAAATTCTGTGAAGTCAGGCTCCTAAAATAAGGTGAATCACTCTTAAGAGCTAAGAAACACATCTTGAAATAAGGATAGCAATGGGCTTATTCTAAAGTTGAAATGATGTGTAAAGGCAAACCCTAAATTTAATCTTTAGAAGAATTCAAAATTGCATAACAATAAAACAGATTTCATCTCCATAAAGATTTTTAGGCTGCACTAAGTTTTTGTTGTATCACAAACAGCCAACAGGGGAATTACTGACCTTTTACTGTGAATAGGTAGCTTGATTTTCTTCAGTGCTCATCTATTTAGTTAATATAAGTGTGTGTCAGAAGACAACTCTCACTGGTTTAAAGCCCAACACTTTGGAACAGATAAATCTCCTCTTGGAAGGGAATCTCTGATAACTGTAGCTCTGTATATGCTGGAATACATCAATTGTGAGAAGTAAAGACTTACTGGTGCCTTAGCTTGATAATTGAAATAGTCATATTTATTTGTCTAAAGGTATGCAATAGCCAAGTTTAAAATACTTTGTGTCACTACATGTGTCTTCAAATACAAAAGAGGCGAGTTAGCTCTTACTAGAACAAAATAATTGTTTTATTCTCCACTTTATCTTTTAATGCTATTAAATATCGCAGTGCTACTGGTTTATTAATTATAGTACATTCATATGCTTATTGCTGTGCCACTTGCATTTTATTCTCTTTTAATTGTATCAAATCTACTGCTAGTAAATCTGTAAAGCAAAGGAAGTAAATTTTAATGCAAAAGCTATAGTGCCTGCCAAATTGAGAGGGGTGTGGAAGTGTAAGTTGGTATGTGAGAATTGACAGGCATCAGTTTTCTTAGAGCTATAATAGACGTGATTGAAACATTCTTACTTTTGGGGTGGATGTTCCATTGCATAGAGAATGGGAGTGGCAGGGGTGGGGTGGTTTTAGGTAGTTGGGTTGCCTAATAAAATACTGAAATAGAATTCAGTTGACAGGTCATCTCTGTAATTTTCCTTACTTTTGGGGGTTCTTGCATATGATGGTTTGCTCCCTCAGGTATTAGGCGAACAGTGTGAAATGATGCAAGTTGAGCACTACACATGTCCTATGTAGCAGGGAATATAATGTGGTTTTATTATTACGAAGTTTTGTTGTTTTCTCTTCTAAGGAACACACTGTATTCCTCCAGTTCTCAATAAGAAAATGTGTAAATCTGTAGGTGAATGGTTGTTACCAGTCCCCCAGTTACTGGGTGCTGAGATGCAGCCAGCACCCAGTTGTGTTGCTGTGATTTGGACTATTACATGGGGAAAGATCGTAAAACCCACACATGCCAAATTGATTTCCTCAAAAGTATGTCTAGATAGGAGATGGGAGAGGATGAGGAGCTTCAGAACATCACTTGCATTCATCATGTATCAAAATACTTGTACTGCAGTGAGCAGTTTATGTAAACTGTGAGTTTAGGTTTAAATAAAACAAACATTTTTTTCCCCCACTACAAAAGTATAGCTGCTGCAACGTACAGAGTGCTGTGCGTGAAAGAGAAGAACCAAACTTGTTGATGTTAATTCATAACAGTAGCATGCTGCAGGGTATATGCCTTAAGATACAGTTTAGACTATTCTGTGGATGATTTATGTAATTGAGGCTATGTGATTAATTGCTTATCCAGATCTTCTCCCTCCCATAATAGACCCTGTTTTTCTGTTTAATAACTGGAGTGGTTATGTGTATACTTTCATATTAAATTAGCCCAAATTTGAATTTTACTGTGTGAGCTCCCAAGTTTTTTTATTTCCTGAATTCTGTTTAACTTTTATGTCGTAATTACAAAATTAAACTCAACTTTGAGGCTTCCTTGAGCTATTTTGGTGTTGGGAAGATAGCAAATAGTTGATTCTTTTTGACACAAACCCAAAATAATAACTTGTTGGCTTCCCTGAAATACAGCAACAGCATGATGAGATCATGGCACCTAAAAATAATGTGTGACTTTGAATAAAGATTTTGAACATGACAAATTGGAAGTTCAGCATTTACATAATATTATACAAATTGGCTGGAGAAATTTCAAATATCTTCATCTTTGAAAACCCGTTAATAAGGAAATTGGAACAGTTTTTGCAGCTGGCTGAATTCATTCAAATTGCTGATGAAAACCTGATGTAACAGAATACAATGTGTGGGGGGAGACAATCTGCTGAAAAGTTTTAAATACACTGTTTCATTGAGAAATGTATTAATCAGCCTCTCTGCAGACAATCTTCTGTAAACTTGCTCACTGAAATTTGGTATTATTCTGTGTAATAAACTTAGGAAACCCATTTAATAGTTTTGAATTGAACAATTTGACATAGGTTTTGTGTTAGACTTTCCAACAGATTAATTGTGGGTAGCTGAATTCATATACAAAGAATTTGACTAAATTCTTTGATGTTTGCTTTAATACGTTGTTTTATGTATAATTACATGAACATTCAAATCTTGGGAGCCTAAAATTAGAACTCCCATCTGCATGCTAGGCTGCAGGTGCACGTGTGCATGACATGCTTCTGTTTGGTATCTGCTGCTCAGTTTCATCAGTAGGCACGATACAGAGATTTCCCAAGACTGCTGAGTATCAGAGGACAGGAGATGTGACAGTGTTGCATTCTGCATCTCACAGAGAGAGGGAGGAAAGACTATGGGAGAATTGCAGTGATTGTGTTCTTGTAGCCTGCAAAAGGGTGGTGTTTGGATTTATTGCCTGGGTATGCACACAGGAGTGTTACTGCCTGCAACATCAAACCTTTTTGCTAGAGGTGAAGCAGGAAGGCGCAGTGCAGGGGAAAGGATGTTGGAAACGCAGTATAGCTGAACCCATGGAAAATGGGAGCTGGGAGAAGTGGGTCCTCCTTCACCCTTTCAGGTTTCACTGGGCAAGGTTCTGCTTAAATTTGGAAAAGCAAAGTCAAAACTGCAGAACCATAGCTTTGGAAAAATAGGCAGTTTTGAGCTTTGAAAGGAGAGTGGACAGAGGGGGCTCCGCTTTTGGAGATAAAGTGTTCTAACAGTTGTAAGGATTTGCAATGGTAATCAAATCTGGTAATGCAGCTCCTGTGCCCAGTTAAACTAGATTGTGGGTTTTTTGGTGTTGAAGTGAAAGGAACTTCTCCAAGCTAAAACTTTGAGCTTTAGGTATTCTTAGGACTTCAATAAAATGCTATGTAATTGCTGTATTTGCTCAAGTGGAAAATGTAGTAAAACTATTTAATGAAGTCTTCAGCTGTTCCATCCTTCACCCAATCAATCGGCAACTGCACGGTGAAACAAAGTTCATGCGCTTGTGGTGGGAACCCAAGGAGAGCTGTGCCTTTCAAATGCCTCCTCGCATAGCTGGGCTTTCAAAGCTGAATGTGCAGAAAAGCCAGTTACTTAATGTACAGAGTGGAGCTGGCAAGGAATGGAAAAAATAGGTAACCTTGCAGAAAATACTTTAGCAGTCTTTCCCTCTGAACCTAAATGAAATAGCAGCTCGAGTATGGGGATGTCCATTTGTTTTGCTTTATTTTGTATTAAAGGGTTCTTTTGTATCTAAGGCAACATGAGCAGAAACCTTATGGGGCACATTTTTAAGAGGAGTGTTTCGGTGTGTAAATTTAATCATCTTGCGTTGGGTTTGTTTGACTATGCATATGTTCTTTGCAGGCACAAATTTGTTAGGCCTGCACATATGGTTCATAAAATACTTGGGTTCTATTAATACATCAGTGTTCATTACTTGAGATTTTGCAGAAAACCCTTAAGTATGTATATTTTACCAGAAATCTCTTGTTTTGGTTTAAAACTTGTGTAAAACCAGAGCACGCTGAATATTCACTTTGAGTTAGTATTAGTTTTACTTACTTCGTTCACATTATCTGCTTAGGAATATTCTTTTTCTTATTGCCATCTTTCAGAGTACATGATAAAAGAATTGCCAGTAGTTTAATTTCATTTCAACACTGATAAGTATACAAAACCACATGTGTGTTCATGAATGATAAGCACTTGAGTGTTTCTGGAAAACAGTTTGGGAAAATAATGTGTAGAAAATAGTATTTCAGTTGCAGGAAGTGAAGTGTTTGTGGATGAAAGGTAAGTTTTGAGCTGCTAGCTTAGATCGCTTTTTAATCAGTTAAAATAAGGGATTATTTAACTTAAAATTGATGGGAGCTCTACGTAAGATAACTGAGTTACAGTACCTTATACTGCTGTTTAAAGCAGTGTACTTTGCATAAAGCTTGACCTGAGATCCTCCCTGTACCTGAAGATTGCTTGTTACTGACAGCTAACATAGGTGCAGCAGGACTCACACCCAGTGTGCAGCTATCTTGGGCAGAGCTTTAGCTGTTTGGGCTGGCTCTAAGCAGTTGGTATGATTATAACCAAGCTCAGCTTTCTGTCTGCAGCCTGCCTGGGTTTGCCATTTCATGTGCTTCATTTTCCGTCCTCATGCCATGCCTCCAGATCACAAGCTTTTAAATACACTAATTCCACTGGTTTTGGAGAGGTTTTGTCCGCTTTCTGCACAAACAGCGCTGCAAGGTATCTTAACTAACGAACAGTTATCCTATTTGCCTGTAACACTTGTCCCAGGTACTGTCAGATCCTGTTAAAGTAATAAAAGTAATGTATTTCTACTCTTTTACCCTTTATGGTTGTGGAGGACATGACTATCATTTTCCTTATTACATGCTCAACAAATACTGCAGTTAAGATACCTCAGAACTGCCTATGGCACAGGCTTGTTCCAGTCTTGCTGAAGAGTAGGGCAATATATAAAATAAAGTTACCTTTTTAAAACCACTGTAACTAAGTTACATTTGAAAGGAGAAGTGAACTGTGGAGGTCACAATGTTCAGAGGTTTCATATTGTGGAGGTAAATGAAGTTGTTTTTTTTATGGCATTAGTAGAATTAACATAACTGGGAGCTCTTATAATAGTATTTGTATGTTGATACTGCAGAAATACTGCATTTATGGAGAAATAAATGGAAAGTTTGAGGTCTTGGTTTAAATTTTTAGTTTGACCTTGAAAAACATTCCCAGATGGAGAGAGTTAAATGAGCCCAGCTTTGAAAGAGGAACATATGAATCACGGTTGCTAGGCTCTTCCTTGAGAGGCACAGGCTTTACATGTACAGCGAAGTATTTCGAAAAGTAATCTTTAAACTCGGAGGAACAGTGCATTTGAAATGACACTGGCAAAATACTATAAACTTCATTAGACTTTTAAATAGAGAATTTGCATGTCATTAAATGAAATGGGTATAAAGTATTAGGCGTTAGAATATCAACCGCAAGACTTGAGAACTTTCATAAGAGGTTGAGAGGGGAACAGAAAAATTAGGCATACATCTCCTCCTCTTGGTAAGTACTTCTTATGTAAGTTCTGTTATTCTCTGCCACTTGCATGGTCTCATTTGTCAGTCTCGCAGCAGTGCCACATAGGTGTTTGCCGTGTTCAAACACAAACTGAAGTAAGGTTTTCCTGAGACATGCTCTTGCTCTGCTCATCTAAAATGATAGTGAAGCACATTAAACACATGGGATGTGTTGTGCCTAAGGCTGAGGTTCCTGGGTTGGGAAGTGTGGATTCAGGTCTCTTGCAGTTGTCTTAAACAATCTTGGTTGAGTCACACTCCTTATAGCTTCAAACCCTTTGTTAAAACTAGTTCAGGTGAAGTATTGATACTACTTTTTGCCCACTGGTATCTGTTCTGTGACCCTTAGGTGCTAGTCTCATGTGTTCGTGCAGTGCTCAGCATCATCAGGTTCTGTTGTTACTTGGGCTCTATCGATTTCCCTAACAAAAAGATTTGATCATGTCTATTTTAAATAAATGCTTTAATAATAGAAAAGCTATGGGTTATTTTACCTCATACGAGAAAGCAAAAGAAATCACATTTAGGACTCTAACCATCACTACTTCCTCACTGGTTACATTTAGATGCTTCTGTATGGCTATCTGTATCAGTATAGGGCGAGGGAACTGGGGAGAAGATCTTTTACATTAATGTCTGTGATCTGGCTGGGAGTCTTGTGTGTGACTTCCTTTGCAGTCACAGTTGAGATTTTGGGTGTGCAGCAAATCCTTTATTTCTCTGTCATGTGGTTTTGCTCTTAAACCTATGAGTTTATATATTTATTAGTATTTTGACATTACTTTGTCACTCAGAGCTTTGATTTTAAAACCCCACATATGTGCTTCAGAGTGTAAAGGACATTCATGAATCACTCATTTCTTGGGATCCCCAAACTGAAATAGGAAAACATTTTTGTTTGCATCAATTTGCCAATTTGTTTCACTTGTTGTTTAAAATTGCAGCTCTTTATTGCCAGCAAATATTCATAGAAGGGTACTTAGAGAGCAAGTGGGATGTCTCAGACTAGTGTCAAGGCGTGCTTTATCTTCCAAGAGATACAGAAGTAGGCAATCCTCTTCTGGTGTAAGCGAATTTTCCCCGCCCCTCTCATGCTGTACAAGCTGGTGTAAAGTCTGTGAACCCAGTGTTGTCTGAAAGGTATGATTATGGGAATAGGTACCGGGATGTGGATTTACAGTTCCTTAGATGTTATACGGTAGTAGCCTCTCTGTGTGCTATTAACTGTGTAAATAGCAGGCAGCGTGCTATTGTCCCATTCATCATGGCCTGTGAGTAGTCAGATGGAAATATTCGATTGCCCTGTGAAAACTGTTTTACACAGGCATACTCAAAAAGCTCCTGCATGAAATATTACCATTTAAGTTTATATGCTTTTTTTTCTTATCTATCTTAATATTGCATCACAGAAGGTAGATATTGAAAAGTAGAAGTTTATTATTCCTATCTGGCTTTTTTTTTTCCACCAGCATATATTTACTAGTTATGCCTAGTTTGTGGTGTTAGGTGTGCCTGAGGTCTTCATACTTCTGTTGATAAATATCATATAAATAAATAAACAAGAGTCACTACTTAATGAAGTGCAAATCAGAGTTATTTACTCAATGTAAGCTCAGTTGCAAAAAGGTGCCTGTGACTTAGAGAAGTGTAGCTCTGATCTGTCACAGCCAAGTCAGGTGTCCATGGTCATTGTATTTGCATCCAGCAGCAAAATCCAGTTGCAGCTGTTATTGTAGGAATCATGCTTAATTTTCATGTAGCACTAACAATATTTTTGGAAAACCAGGGATAAATCTTATTTTTAAAACTAAAGTAGTTAATATGATGGAAGACTTACTACAAAGGGAGCCCATCACTCTGGAAGCTGTTCCATGGGGATACATTCTTTTGTCTGTGAGAAACAAAGTGTCCATGGGGCTCTGCGGGGCTGACGGTGTCATTCTGCCAGTGGTTACCTTGCGTTAGGGCACATTTGATCTTCAAATGCAGCTTGCTGAATTTATGTCATAATTGATGTTCCATTAATGAGCAAAAATATGGATGTTGTTAAAAATACACATAGGCAAATTAGTATCTGTAAAACAAAGCACTGACATCAATTCCTAGCATTAAGATAAATAAGTTTAACTTAATTTGTAAGTTACTGTTAAGATAAATCTATAATTTGGGTATTTCTTTTGAAGAAAATTCAGTTTTCATATATCAGTTTTAAACCTTTAAATAGTGCTGTAGATCCCTTAGCCACAAGGTTGGCAATAATTAATTTATAGTATTATGTTTGCAGCTTCCTATTTTGTATCTTCTGGTGATTCAAGATAATTTTTAGTTCTATAAATGTAATATACCTTGAAGTTATGTAGTAAATCTTGTATTTAATGCTCCAGTAGTCTCTGAATGCAGTTTGAACTGTTAAACTATATTCATAAGAAACTATACTCTTAAAAACAAAATGGTAGAAACTAATTTTATTAGGAAAAGTCTGCAAGTATGTGTGTTATCTCTGAAATCCACACATGCTCTGACATACTGTTATCTCTCTTTCTCTCTCTTCCATAGCTGTTACACAGATCTCTGGCAGCAGATGGTTGGACTATAATGCACTGTTAAATAAATAAAACCATTAGGCATGTAATAGTGCCTGGTGAATGACTGTGTGTTTTAAAATGTTTTAAAAAAATTAAATAGAAAATAAAGTTCATTTTTTTGAATTTATGTAATTAAATTGGAATAAAAGCCAAACCTCTTTCAGAATACATAAAACATCCCCTCTGATGTTGTGGTTGTCATTTAAAGTCAGTCTCTTTTTATTACATTCTTACATCTGGTATAAGATAATCAGTCCTAAATCAGTTTCCTAATAGATGTTTTCTGCAAGTAATCACTCATTTTACATTTATCATCATAGGAAGATTTTTGCCTTTGTCATTCTCCAGCACAAAATTATCTCTTGCATTATATGCCCTTTTTTTTTCTAATTTTCAAATTTGATACAAATGTATTACAATTATGATTCAACACTAGTGTCATGGCTCTGTAATTAAACTGTTTCTCAATAATTGTCAGCAGCTGAGAGATGCCATTTTGTCTTTTTGTTTTTAGATATGCCAATATTTGGTCTTTGCCCGGCTCATGATGATTTCTATTTGGTGATGTGTAACCACTGTAATCAGGTCGTAAAACCACAGGCATTTCAATCACATTATGGTAAGTGCTTAACTGTTTTTAATAATTAAGGGTGAGGTTAAATCAGGATTAAGCCTGGCAATTTTTTTATTTTTGATGGTACATAGATCATTGTATTCTAAATAATGTCAAAGAACATAACCTGTGTTTGAGCATTTTATATACATTGTGATGCCGTTAATAAAGATCTTGTTCCTTTGGATTTTTTCGGTGCCTTCTTGAAATGCTGAAGCCATACTGTTCAGTTTTGAAATGACATATGTCTAATGTGTTTCACAGACAGTAAATGTAGTATTCTTCTGTCTGTGTGTGTCATTTTTCCTCGTGTTCACGCAGGTTATTTTTACACAGGTTCTCTTACAGTGCGAACTTAAGCTAAAAGCTAAACTTACAGATTTGGTTGTAAAACACCCAATGGCCAGTAAGCTTATTTATTTATTTTCAGAAGTATCAGTTTGTATTTGTTTTACTGGTCTGATGGTTTTGTATATAAACTGTGCTAGGAAGTTCTTATTGTGTTGGTTGGTGTCAGCCAGTGTTTATAGAGGACTGAAAAAATGTGAAGTGCTGCACAAGTTCAGGTGCACTGTTACTTCCTACAAACCTCACTGGGGGGAGGTTGGCAGTTCTTCTTTTCCACACTTAAGGCTAGAAATTAACTTCAAACAGTTTCATGCTAGTGTTTTGATAGGAGGTTTTTGGTATTCAGCTTTTTGTTTCTTGAGAAATTCAGAGGATGTTTTCTGTCCTGGTACTAATAAAATAGATGGACAGAGCGTCTTCTGAATTACTCCTTCCTCACGCTGTGTTTGTACACATTTCCTCTTTTCTAAGCCTACTGATGGTGTTTAAAATAGTAGGAGATGCTGGGTACAACTTTTCTTGCATCTTAAAGAATCCAGCCCTTTGGCAAGAAAAGAGATACTTGTTTCTGCTGCTTCGTAGAGACTGGGAAAAGGTCTTCCTATGCTGTGCAGAGGGTGAACTTCCTGTCCTTTCCACCTCTCACTTGTTTGGGTTTGTGTTGTTATGCCTTATGGCTGCTGAATTCTGTGCTTGTGTTGCAGAGTGACTTGGAGAAGAATCTGATTAGGTTTTGTGATGTAATTCTTACTAGTTTGCATGTTATTCTGTGGATGCAATACTAATAAAACATTTTATAAACCCTGTGGTTTTGTGGACATAGGTCTTCAGAGCTGTAGGGAGCCACAAGAAGAAAAGGGCATCAGAATTTCTTGCTCTGGTTGCTCTAAGCCTTTGTATCAGCCAACAGCAAGTCCACCCCTTGCCAGTGTTGATTCCTCACCTGTCACTGAGTATAAGTTTGGGATATCTAATAAATCCTTCTAAAATACCATAATAAATTGGTTCTGACAGTTAAAAATAAATATATGGGGGAGGACTGGATGGTACTTTGTTCTGAGTTCTGGCATATTGCATCTTCCATGTTAGTGGCACTAACATGGAAGTGGCTTAGGTTGGTAATGATGGAGAGCAGTTGGTATCTGCAGACACTTCGGGTTATCTTTCTGAAACAAGCAGGTAATTGCCAAATACTGCCTGATAAACATGTATCTGTACTGTAGGACCCAGTGTTGTAGTTGTTGGCATGACAGACTTATGGGCAGATTGAAGAAGTGGTTTAGGAACTGGATAGGTAGAGCATTGCTGCTTGACCGTGGACATGAAAACGTGTTGTAATACTGCTTGTACCAGTGTTAAGCTTGTTAGGCGAAGTTAACTCAAACTCTTTTGTAAGCACTACTTGCAATTTAAAAGGGACAGAGTAAAGAGGGAACTACAAAATGAAGGTATGGAAAATACTTTAAAAGAATAAATACTACCTATTCCCATCTGTATCACATTTTAGGAGCATGACTTCTAACCATGAACCTTTCTCTAAGGTAAACATTACATCAGTGGTAGGCACATACTTTGAGGGAAACATAGAAGGAGGGGATGGAAACTACGAGGTTATTCTTAGTATTCCTTAAGCGCATTCTGAACAATGAAGATACTCAGCGAGGCCTGTGGTGTGTAGAGGAAACAGGCGGGGTCATTCTGATGAGAAAAACAGGCTTGGGTGGGGTGAATGTCATTAAAGGACCTCAGTTTGCCAAACTAATAGCCTCAGAAAGGTAAGAAGGCTGACTTGATGATTTTGGGTAGTGCTAGCTCTCATTGCTTTCTATCAGCCTTTACGTTCATGAAATCCTTATACAGTTGTCCCTTGTTTTAGCAAATTGAATGCAAAAGCTGATGGATATGGCAGATGATCGATTACTAGGCAATGGTGTAGGGTTTATTTTAACACAGAATGAAATTGCTGCAGTCCTCAAAACACCCAGTGCTTGTAAATCAGAAAGTACACTATCATGATAGTAAGAAAGTAAAACAGTCTTTGGATTGATGGCAGTTTGCCCTGAAGTAGTCTTTTATTTGTGGCATTATTTCAGGGATTGATAAAGGACAGATTTTTCTCAGAACCTGTGAAGTATTGCAGTGTGAAACTGCACCTTTGAGATGTTCTTAGGGTCTTTTAAAGTTATTTCTAATTGTTACCAGAGAAATAATAATCTCTTAATACATTCTGCAGCTCCTGGTGGTGTGTGTCGCTTGTACTCGGTGTTCTTTGAAACTTGTCATGTGGGGTTTTGTATTCTGAAGTAGCAGAATATGCTCTTTTAAAATGTCACTTTTGTCAAAGGAGGGCCAAGCAAACTATTAACTAAACCTAATGAGCTAATTAATTTCTTCCCAAAGCGTATTTGTGATACACTACTTAACTAGGTAGACTGAAAGTGCATTGCAGGACATATGCTGGGTTTTTTCCCCAGACTACAAGTAATCTCCACATTCACAAGAAATAACTTAAATGTAACCTAATTAATCATAATATTTGACCTTTTTAGTTAAATACTGTATTAATACAAATCACATATTTTTGTATTAACTGATATTTTAATATTTCAGGGGCTTGACTAGAAGAGATACCAGTTTAAAATGGACTTTGCTTTTTGAGGCAGTCAAAGCATTTGGAGTATGAATTGTCATTTATTCTATCCTGTTGGTATAAATACTTACACTGATTTGTAACATTTGATGACATATTTGGTATTTTTAACACCATGTGTAGGTTAGTTTTTAAAAGCATTTTAATACAGTGAGATACCCAAAGTCTTCTTGTGGTATTTCTTCTAGCCTGTGTGCAGGTGAAGACCTTCAGTAACCACAAATGATTCTAGCTTCTCGGCCTAGGGCAGCAGTGATGCTGAGGACCTAGTGGGGCAGGAACCAAAAAGGAATTGTTTCAAGACAGATCCTATGTTCTGTTACATCTCAGCTGCTTCATTTGTGGGGCTGGACAAGTGATTTATGTCCTTCATTGCTAGGATTCTTGCTACTGCTTTTGGAATGGTTATGCTTACATGGTACCAGCATCTTCCTTGGATGGCTGTAGATCAATTCAGAGGTGAAAGATGATGAAAGTGTGTAATATTCAGGCATTCAGTCTTGTGGGTGAAACACCTGAGATCACTTGTCATGATGATCTGTTCTGAGAAAACAGAATTTTTCTCCAGTTGGAGTATTTTGCTCCACTCTATATGATCATATGCCAGCATCTCCAACTTCCGTGCCACGTAAACCTTCCCTCTGCATTCAAATCAGGTATATTTCTGCAGTTCCTGCACAGTTTTCTCTCTTAATGTATAAATTCTTACAATAACAAAAACTTACCTGCTTGTCAAATTGCTAACTGCCACACTGCTCAAGGCAGTGGGATGTACCTGTTTTCCTTTTACTTCCTCTTTCTCTGTCCTTCCACTGAAAACATGCTAGAGACAGTTCTCATGCCTCACTGGAAGGTTGCTCTTTGAGGAGTCTACTGTGACAGTTACTTCACGTTGTTCATGGAACCCCTGAAGTGACATGGTTTTCAGCCTGTGTGAGATTTTGTTGATATTTTGACAGTTCCAAGGGTTTATCACATCTCCTGTGGTTATCAGCCTCCTGTCTGAGGAGAGCTGCCTCTCTGCGCTGTCTGGGCTGCTTTATAGCTGGGGGAGAGGAGATGGCTCAGTGTACAAAGTAGCATCAGTGCAGAGATGTGGGGTTTCTTCCTCCTAATTTATCCTAGGGTTTTTTTTTTCCAGTTCCCTGTTTCCTCTGTACTTTGTTTTCTGTGAATACAAAATGGGGTTAAACTCTCAGCAGTAATACTGAAGGCTACCTGTAAAACTTAAACTGAGAGTACATGTGAGTCATGTAGTGATTGTGAAAGCCATTAATACAGTACGTGTTGGAAAGAGATGATAATAGTGTGTTGGGCTGTTGAGTCATTAAAAAGCTATGTCTGGTGTTTTAACTTCCATAGGTTTGGCATGCAGTGGCAAAGGTGTGCAGCTACTGTGAGCTTTGCTGGCTACTACTCTGTGAGCTGGTGGGGAATTGCTCAAGTGTTTCAGTTTCTGATCAGTGCACCTTTCAACCTCAAGCACAGGATTCAGAAGCAGGATACAGATTAGCCCACCTTGTGTGATTTCTAGGAGGTCTGGATATTGGATAGAGCAGATCATCACACATTATACTCAGTCTGGTGAGACTCACAGGACAGATCCTAGTGGTAGAGCCAGAGATGCTCACTTGTGTAACTTACTTGGGTCCATTCTGCAAGTCAGTGTAAGGTCTCTTGTGATCTCCTTCATCTAATTGTATAACCATGCTCCTTCCTCTCCCAGCCAGTTCTCACACCCACCTTTAGTTAGCAGGTTTACTACTTGGCTAGTCATAAGGGGGGGTTTATTTTGGTGTTGGTGTTGGTGTTAAGTGCTTGGGTTTGGAGAGAACATGTGATATTTATGTTTTTAATTGGGATAAATGATCTGTTAACTATCCCTGCCAATATGCTGTTGTGTTTTGGATGCTATATTGTGTTGTTTAAGTATTGGAACCCCTCACTGTTACATATTTGGGTTCTTCTGACGTACTGTGAATCAAATATAAATTTCTCCTACCCTCTT